ATCCATCTTGCTCTTGGTCCTTTTTCCTTTCGATGAGTTGGAAGAATTTCCTCATTTTAGCTGTAGTGTCCCCTTTCAGGAAGGAAGATGTTTGTCATTCTTGCAATCAATTAATTTTTAAAGGCTAGAGGTCAACATAGATATGTTAGTTCAGATTTGGAGTGTACATTTGAAATTAATTTCTTGATTCTCTCAACTCACTTTCCTTATAAGCCTTGTGGTTGCTGTCCCTGAATGGAGTTTGCTCACTTAGGTCTGAGTTAAAGGTGCCAAAAGGTGTGCTGCAATCATTATGGGCATTCTCCCAGATAATGTCTGGTTCAGATCGATCCCTCTAAAATATATATCAATGGACAGGACAGTTCCCAGCATCAGTTAAATACTCTGTGAGTGTACTGGTGGTAAGATCTGTTGTCTGCAAATGCAGGTGCAGCTGAAGTGGATTTGCTGTAAATTGCCTAATCCAATGCCTGTCAAAACACTGTGTTGTTTATATACAATAGAATACATATCATTGCATGTAAAATGATTTAAAACATTTTTTTTATTTCTCCATGTTCAGTTACTTTCACTCTGTGTAAATTTCTCCCTGTGTTGCTCTTAATTGTTTGTGCTTCAGTTATGTTACTGAAATGTGCTAGTCAGGAGGTCTTTCTTAAAGCATCTGATCCATTTCATGTATTCAAGTGGCTTTAAACATAGTTAAAAGATACACCAGTTACAGAATCAACTGCCTGTAGTTCCTTTTCATCCATATGAAAAATCTTTAGCTCTAGTTCTATTTCTCAATTTTACTTCCTTGAACTCTTGAGAATTGCATTTGCTGGATGTTAAAACCACAGGAGATGTGTGTTGTTTTTCAAAGTAGCCGTAACATTCTTCTCTTCGCTCCATCATCTGTTCCATTCTGTTTGCTCCATTCTTCTGTTCACTGGTAGCTGTGTTATTTAAAGAAGCATGAGGGTAGTGGGGCAAGAGGTGTAGATTCTAAAGCTTTTCTTACAGTTGTAGTGAATGAGAAATTAGTTTGTTTCTGACTTCCACCTAAAAGGAGCTGACTTTTGTTTGTAATGGGAAAATAATAGTTTGCTAAAATTGAAGATGGAAAAAAGTTGAAAAGTGTATTAATGGGTTTGTGCTCTCTTTCTGGTCCTTAAGAGGAGGATGTATTGGTGATTTAATTTATATTAGATTTAAATTGTACAAGCAGTATGCATTTTGTCGAAATTTAAGGGAGGGGTGAGTGAGATAATTTAGTGTTAACCCTTCCTGGGAAGGGTCTACCAGAAGTAAATACAATATGTACGCTTCTGATATGAAAATTCCTTGGCAAGAATGCATAAGGTTGGTTTCAAGTAAACCTATATTATAGAAAGGAGTTGTCTCTTTCTTCTTAAAATAGTTAGCAAGTTTTAAATGAGTAGTCTCTACAGGGATACTAAGAGCCCAGTAGGGGAGTGCCAACATGGAGAAAGTTTCTTGGATGAGGGCCAGCGTAACAAATGCAAGCAGGCAAGCTTTGTGTCCAGACTTGTGTTTCAGCTAATGCGAACGGATTTAAAGTCCTTAGAGATCAGGCACTGTGGCATAAATTGCAGCAGAAGTACTATAGTACAATGTGCTTGGTTTCATTCGCTGTTGTTTTTGATGTTGGAGGATTAAGGGGAGGGGAAAGGATCAAATACCCAGGATGCTCTGTTTGGAGGGGTAAGTGAATTTCATTGTCGTCAGAACTAGATTGCCATATGAGTTCTGAAAAGTGTTTGGCTCCTGAGGATAACTGCTCTAAAAATAGATTTGGAGGCGAGGTTTCTCTTGGGTCCAGTTTCAGGTTCCAGCTGAGCTGGCTTTAGGAAACCTGTTTGCTCCTGTTGCAAACAGGAGGATAACAGTGAGGATATTTCTTATTCTGCCTTCAGCATTAATTTTTGGATATCCTGACACACTCGCTCTGCTGGTGGGAATCGAGCACTAATGTTATGGCTGAGGACACAGGTATAATCTTAACCTTTTTATGGTGAGAAAATGGAAAATGTGTACTTGCAAATAGCAGTTATGTCTGATTTTATAATTAGCAAAATAACTGGCTTACTGTTGTATGTTTTCTTGCCAGTTTGCTGTCTAGTCTGTGTTACAGGCTGCCTCTGTTCTCTCTGATTACGTCTTTTCTGTACTAGAGGTACTCTATGAGTTTATGGCTGGTGGTTAATTGTAAATAATTTTTTGCCTAATAGATCATAAATTAACATAAGAGATACTGGTTTGTCTTCAAATATTTGACTTCAGATTTATTTTTAGAATATGTAAAATTGCTAGGTGTCTTGAAGGTAAGCTAAAGTAAAAAGGTTTTCATACATTTTTAGGTAGATGTGACTTAATGGGGGGCGGATGAGGTATAGGATTTTATAGATTTGCTGTTGAGTGGTAGACCGTGCTTTAAGACTTTCTGATGTCTGCATAAAGACATCTGGTGGTGTAAGCACAGGCTTACCAGATATGGCAAGTGACCTACTTCTGGCATGGCTGGCAGCATGTGCAGGGAAAGGGCTTGAGTTGAGAATTAACTGTTTGGAATGAGCTCTGAGCCAGCTTCAGTCCTTGCAGTGTTTTGTTCTGACCCTGCATGGAGCATTATTTGTGCAAATTGTAGGTAGATTTTTTCTTACATAACCTCCATTTATATAAAAGTGTTGTGTGATCACGCTGCCATGCTTGAGTTGTTATTCAAGAGTTTTGTAAATAATTTTGCTGTAAGGTAGAAAGCACCAGCAGTATGTCTTTGTGACTATTGTAAACTACATTCTTACAGCAAAATCTATTTTGGAGGAATTTGCATGAAACAATCTCTTATACTGGAAAAAATATGAATAGTTCTGCTTCATTATATAAATAGGTAGAATTTTCTTTCATTTTCCTGTTCTTCTGATAAGTAAAGCTTCTTTCTTGGAAGGCAAATAGCAGTAAATGGTAGAAAACAGTAAGGCAAATAAGTGTGAAATGCAGTAAGATCATCTTTCCTGTTTGCTCTAGAACCAAGTTGCAATCTGGAATATTTTAAACTGTTTTTAACCTAAGGATTTAATTTTAAGTATATGCAAAACTTTCATTGACTGCCCTGCTATACAAGTGAAGCCCTGCTGTTACATACTATAATTGTTTATTTATAGTATTAACATTACCAGCTCAAGAGTACTATAAGTAATTTTCATACAGTTGAACATATTTCTGAATGCAGACACTGCTTTTCTGTCCCTCAATTTTCAGGCTACCCATACATTTCCCACAAGAGAGATGTTACAATGAGCTGTGTATATGGACTCTGCACACATATAATTAGAGAACTGTGCAGTAGCAAATGATATATGCCTGATGTGAGGCTAAGTTGCCTCAATTTCTCTCTGAATATTATTGGGCATTTGTGTTTAATGTAGAAAAGAAACTAAAAGTTGGTGTTTGATCTTTGAAGGGAGTAGTGTTAATAAAATAATTATTTTTTTCAGTAAAAGGCTGAGCTGAGTAAGAGTTCACATGGGTCAGTGGTTTTTATTTGGTCTGAACTTGGTAGGAAGAACAATGAATGTAATAAAAGAGTATTTTATTACAACTGTAAACCTGCTGGCAAGCAGGGTCAGAGAGTACTTATATATAGTTCCTGTTACAAAAACAAGTCAGTCACCCATCTCATTACTTATCTTTCAGCTATACCATTTTATTTTAAAAAACAATTGTGTTGATATTTAGCTTCTAAGAGTATTTTTTGTCTTTTTCTATGATCAGTGTTGATAAATACATCTAACATTTATTCAATTTGTATAAAGATAACTCCTTGGCTTTTCTCAATATTCATGACAAAATTTTTTGCAGCATTCTGTAAATCATGTAAGAAATAGTTTTGCTTGAATAACTGGGTCTGCATGTGGCTGAGCAGGCAAAAGTTGTTTTTTAGAATGGAATGAAGTGGAATAGACTAATGAATTTGAAACTGCAACCAAGTGCCACCCCTGCAGCAGTAAGGTCGGGGGCAGAAGAGCAGACCTTGAGCTTTGGAGGAAGGCCACAGGCAGGCATCTTTCTGGTTACATGTTTATTTACTTTTTTATATATATGTATATGCATATCCCTCTTTCACTAAAACAATCCTAAAACAATAGACTAAGCAATGTATGTCTTCTCTAGTGAGGATGCTCATTTGAGACTTGCTACACATATGCTGCTGGGTCAAGGTCTTTCACTGTCATTTGTTTACAATTATGTGTAATTTTTTATATAGATTTACTTTCCATATGTGCAGTTATAAGTGAAACCATGATTTTTGTTATGTCTATGTCATCGTTTCACGTGTATGTTCCATAGGACTGAAATTCTAGAGTTGTGTAGCATGGAGTGAATCCCTGCTTAATTCTAAGCATCAGGGAAGGTAGTTTTAGTTGGCAAAGTGTTCTGAATTTGAAGTCTTACCCTTAACATAGGTCAGGTTTTATAGTTTTCTTAGGCTATTTGAATTGTTACATTGGTTGTGTGAGCTATTTTGACTAGTTTTGAAACTCGATTTAGGAGAAATGCTTCTCTTGCAAATCTTTTCTGCTCACCATACTGGCCTCTGGTGGCAGTCTGGGAACTTCGGGGAACAAATGCAAAGCATTTCAAAAATGTGAAGCTCTGTGTAAACAGACAACAAAGGGGAGCAAGGCGGAATTTTCAGCTACCTTGTAAGACAAATTAGATAGGGACTTTTGGTGTTTGATTGGTTATGAGGCTTTTGCTTAGATAATCATCAAGCTTCTCACAGTAATTTACAGTGAAATTGAAAGTAAATAAAGGTGGTAAAGTTTAAAAAAAACCAGTCAACCAAAAAAGTCCACAACAACAACAAAACCTACCATTGTTGCTCTAATGTCTAGTATTTAGTGTATCCATAAGCACCAAGTTTTATAATTGTATCCTCAATAATAACTTTCTAACTCTTACATCCATTTTCTCTTCTTGTTTTATTTTAACAGAGACTAAGCACGGAGGAAGCAAGAATGGAAAGAAAGAAGGCCTCTCTGGAAGCTCATTTTTCACCTGGTTTATGGTAATTGCGTTGCTGGGAGTTTGGACGTCAGTAGCAGTTGTCTGGTTTGAACTTGTAGATTATGAAGAAGTTCTAGGTAAGAATTCTAAATCTTAAGATTTTTCTAATAATGTTATGATATGCATTAAGTGAATGCCATTTTTTGTTTTTAGATAGGTGATTTGTCTACTGTAGTGTTTGCAAATTATCTACATGATAAGAATAGGCAGTGTGGTTCAAAATGTATGTTTTAATGCTGAGCACTATTATGATGTTAAAATGGGGATCTCATAAAAGGGTATTAACATCCTGTAGAATGTCTTTGTAACATATATGCTGTAGTTAATTTGAGAGGTCAGCTAAATGTGCAGTTTGAATGGAAGCTCTCAGAAACTCTCAGCAGTGGTTGAAAGTAGGCAGCTCATGCTAGCTGTGCTCTGATGGGCTGTCATGCCTGTAGGGGTCAGTACAGCTGATCAGTCATCCTCTCATGAGTGAGATGTTGAATGACCTCAGTTTTAAGCGTATAGTGGTGATAATTCTATCTATCTCAATATGACAATTTTAAGATAGTACTGGTTAATATAATATTTAAGCTTACAAATTAATATCTCAAATTTCAAGACGTATGTCCATAGGAACAGCCATTTTCCCTGATGTTGTAGGATTCAATATGCACTTTTGCACTGGTGGATTTACAAAATTTGCAAATTTGTTGGTACGTGCTTTTTTTTGATCTGGACTGATTTTTTTTTCAGAAAAAATCTTCTGGTTTGAAACTTAATTGGGTCTAGTGATGCAAATAATATTTTTTGTATTTTTACCATGCATGCAGCCAAAGCAAAGGATTTCCGTTATAACTTGTCAGAGGTCCTACAAGGTAGGATATTAGAGAAATAATCTTGCTTTACAGTCCCTTGGCTGAAAGTTTTTATTTACTTTATTATGGTTTTAATTTTTTTTTAAAGAATTACGCTTCTTCTGCAATGACATGAAGTTAGCCATTTATCATTTGTCTCATTCTTTATGGTTTTGAAGATGATATAATTCTTACTTCTAGAGACTTATATTTTTGCACCAGTCTATTGTGTTTATCCATAAACAGATATGACTCCTTTCTACTGGGTTGCTTTCATAAAATGGTGATGAACATATTTTTCTATTCTAGACCCAAGTCTAAATTTTTTCTTCCACAAAACTGTTTTCTAATTTTATAAGTACCATATTAAGAACGGTATTTCATTTATTTTGATAGCAAGAAAGTTCTACCTCCATTTAAAGAATGACAAGTGTAGAAAACTGTCAGACTATAAGGACACAAAGTTCTGCAAATTCTGTAGAGTTTGATCCTGTTAAAAATTGTGTCTGAATTTTATCAAACCTATAATTAGATAACTCTCTGCTTAGTTTGGTGATCCCAGGACACTTAAAATCCTAGATACCATACTTTTATGCTAAAAATTCTATTTTAATAGAAACTGAGTTCTCCTTTTGCATATACTTAGGGCTGATTGAGCTGCAGTTTCAAAAACAAAAAAGTGAGAAAACTGATTTGTTAGTCTTACATGAAAGGATGGACAACTTTTTTTGTTTGCATGGAAGGTTATGCAATTGTTGCTAAAATTTCTGAATGGTTTTCCTTTGTCTAGGAAGTAGGCTGCTTACTTTCTATTAACTTGGCACTAAAAACTGTATACCTATATACCTATCTATTTTCCGAGAATTTAGAATTGCAGAAAGCATGTAATCAGAAAACAAATAGCTATTATTTTACAAATTTTTGTTTTTGTTATTTTCCCTCAAACATGTTGAATGCTTCTCATGAACTTAAATTTTATTCTGAGCAAAGCATGTCCATGTCAAGTACGTAATTATAGACTTGCTTTAAATCTACAGGCTGCAAAATCAATGCAGGAAAAAGACAAACTTGTGTTTGGTCTGAGGTGCAGGAAATACAGAAAGAAACTTGAAATATTTGAGTATTTACCAGGAAATATAAAATGTGGTTAAGAATATTACAGCTAGATTGTTAAAAAACATATGGTAACAACCTATCATTGACAGTCAGTCATTGCACATTGAACACTGTGCTGGACGCAAATAGCCAAATCCCTAATTGTATTTTCTTCCTCTCTTTGCACTTCTAGGCAAGCTTGGGGTATATGATGCTGACGGAGATGGAGATTTTGATGTGGAAGATGCTAAAGTATTGCTAGGCAAGTACAAATACAGGTGGAACAATCTATATAATTTAGTTGGCATATTCAAGTTTTGATTTTTTGTTTTTAAGTCAAAACAATATTTCTGGTTTGTTTGTTTTCTTCCTAGTTTGAAAACTTAAGTTGATTTCATTGTGATGAGTTTTTCCTTAAAGCAAGTTGTAGGTCATTTTTGTTCTTTTTCTTCTAACATAGCAATGTTAGCAGAAAGCATTTAATCTTACAGGATGATTTTTAAATTAGGTGGTTGATGCTACTGTATTGAATGTTAAAAGAAGGTTGTGATTATCAATAAATTTATCAGATGCAGGACCTAAGATGCTTCTAGAATGAAAACATTGTTTATGTTAACATGTTAAGCCAGGTCCATTTTAAAATTACTTAAATGTGCCTTTGTACTTCTTAGATGACTATTTGTGTAGAGTATTTTTTGTATTGTCTTCCCTCTATTCTGAATTCTTCACAAGTCTGTTCATTTTTTTGCCCTTCAGAAACAGTACATGATATGAATTTTTCTTCTCTGGCATTGAAACAATGGGTTTAGGCTTCTGTTCCTTGTAATTTGTGAGAATGTCTTTCTGCTCACTGTGTATCTTCAAAGGGAAATTTCAATTCTAGACATGCTTTATGATAGTGTTGTTTACTTACATCTTTTAAAGCACTGCCTTCTTCAGCTTCAGTCAAGTCTTGGATAGATACTTCTTGCCTACCTGATGGTAGAAATTTTACTTAAGTTTACTTTTCTTTAGATTTCCTTTAGTTAGTTTGTTCAAATTTGAACCTCTGCTGAGCACATAAACCTGTAAAATTAAACAAATGAACAAAGCAACGAACCCCCCAGCTAACAGTTTGAGCAGAGGACAAAATGGAATGTATCAAACTAGTCAAAGTTATCAGTAGTACATTAGGATGTTATAGTTTGCTATTTCTAATTCATACTCTATAAAAATCAGCTTATCTTATTTTTCCTACTTTTATCTGGAGAAGTAAGCAAGTCTTTGGGAGGATGTGTGTTCATTTGTTTAATCCCTTCACGATATATAGAAAACCCATGTAATCAACTGAATCAGTTTGCAGTGGTGTGAATGTGAGAGTCACTCCAAAAAATTTCCAGCACTCCTATTGGCTACAGAGCTACAGATTGGGTGTTAATTATAATTGGTGACTAAGATAATACTTGTATAGTTATAATCCTAATCTTTCTCTGTCTATTATGTAGTGTATAGAAACTGGATATCCTTTTCTTGACGGTCATATACAGGCAGAAACATTCTGCTGCTTTGTTCTATCTCTGTTTTATGCAGCCTGATATAGCTGGGAGTTCTGCCAGTACATGAAAGTGTTTCTATTCTAAGCTTGTCTTATCATGCATTTAAACCTTGTACTTCAAATGTGACCTTAAAAGGTCACAGATCAAGATTTATTTTTATTATTTTTGAAAAGTTACTTAGAAATATGATTTAATATCACTTAAATTTGAAAATAATTTTTGCAGGATGAAAGAAATAATAAATTTTAAAGTTTTGTGACAGTGAGAAAATTATGTATATAAAAAAATATTTTTTCCAATAACAAGCATGTTATATTATTAACTGAACTTTCCTCTAAGTTACTGTGCTTGTTTACATTTACATTTACATTTAAAATTTAATACAAAATAAAAAATCAGTACCACAATGCAGACTGAAATTTTTTCATTGATGTAGAAACAGGAAGCCTGGATTCCATCTTGAGGAATTTTTCTTCCAGAATTAAATCATTGTAGTAAAGGAAACGGAGTAAGCCTACTTTCTGAATATTAAGTGCAAAGCACCTTTTATTTGTGAGGATTTTGTTAGGAAGGTGTATTACTTTCTGGGATTTTTTTCTGGGTCAGACTGCCATAGCAGCAAGTGGTTTCTCTGGTGCAAAAGGAGTTACTGTAGTTAGGTGTTTAATGATAGGGATTGATATGCTTTATTCTCTTTTGTTCTTTAGCTATTACAGCACTAGTATAGTGTATTGAAGTTGTGATATATACAGTGGTTTAATGTTGTCCACTTCCATAACCTTCAGTGTTCACTACAAATTTCAAGATTGAATATCATCTTAATGAAAAAATTAAATATCTTAATATTAAGTTTAAATTAATTTAACTAACATTTTGAAAAATGCTTCTACTGGCATGAGTTTATTTTATATTTCAAATAACGGTTTAATAGCTGATAATTTAATAATTTTCTGTATTACTTGGCTATACCTAAATAGAATAATTAAAATTTATATTTTATTTCTTGTTTGTATAAGGTATGATAAGATCTGTTCTTTATTATTTGTTGGAATCAAAGTGGGTTTCATGATTAGGTTATCTTGAGGATTTTTATAATTTTCAAAAGGATGTGCAAGAAATTTGTTCTTCCCCTCTTTCCCCACTCCTTGTGTAAATGAAGTAAAAAACCCCAATAAACCAAACCATCTGCACCCCCTCCAGTCAACCAACCCCAAGTAATTATGGAGTATTATAGCAGTTATTTTAAAATTATCTGTGGTGGAAATGAAAACTTGTTAAAGCTAATTTGCCATTATCTTGCAGATTTTGTCTTTTTCATAGATATTCCTGAGGTTCTGTTTACAGACTTCCTTCTGGTAATGGGAAGAGAGGCTCTGTAACCTGCTCCTTTGGGGGCTGCTGTTTGCAGTACTTTGCTTCCCAATTTTTGTCCACTCCAGTTGTTCTCAGAAGGGTGTTATTCTTAGGGAGAGTGCTACACATCTGACCTTGCTTTAAATCAGTACAGTGAAGCAGTGGCTTTAGTGGTATTACCAAAAAAGTGGGATGTATAGGGGTACCAGTGTCTGTTGTATTAGTCACTTTGGAGTTACGCTGTTACTTTTGTACTTATCTCCCTTTTAACAAGCAACAATATCCTGAGAAATTCTCCTTAAATGCTTGCAGTAGTTAGTACAGTTTTGGAACTGCAGCCACAGAAAACAATCCCTTTATTGTTCTTGTGCATTTAGTTCAGAGTAGTCCAGCTATGCAGAAAATGGCAAAACCCCATCCTCGTGTATCAGCAGTCAAATGGTAATAAGCAGTAGAATCCAAGTAAAAAAATCTTAATTTCTTCTGGTTCACCTCCAGTAGAAAAATATGTTTGCAGGCAGTCACACTGAGATTGCACATTCAAAAAATCTATAGTGAGATCATAGGTTAAAAAAAATGCTTTTGCACAGTTCAGCTGTTTAGGTTAAGTTTCATTCTCTTCCCTATTTTTCTTGTGTTCTACTCTAGTGCTTTCAACTATTGGCTTGTGCTCATTTTCAGAAGAAGAGGTGTTTACAGGAAAAGAAATATTTTGTCTTGTTAAATGCATGTAGGGAAGTCCAGTGCCCTACTTGTGGTAACTATTGAATGGACAAATATTTTGACTCCTTTCTTACTTGGAGTCTTGCAATAAAGACTTCTCTTGGAATAAAGTAGCTATATTCTTTCGAGTTCCTGCTTTAGTAGGGTATGGCTGATCTGCTTTTGTCACCATTTTCAGATACTTGTTACAATGTTTTTGTGAGCTTATCAGTTATTACTCTGAAAAACACTTCTAGATTATGGGGGTGAATGGAGATGAAAACCAGGGTATTAATGAGTTGGCAGTTTTTCTATACTCTTTAAAATCCTGTGTTTTTTTTCCTTCAACTCAGGCTGAAGTGTTGCCCAAGGGTTTTTCTTGGTTTTGTTCTTGGGTTTATTTTGTTAAATTCAAAGGCCATTCTTTTCATCTGGGATAATTTTTGCAAAGAATTGGAAAGAAAAGGTTTAGTTTTTTGGGGGGATTTTTGGGGGGTTTTTTTTGGTTGTTTTTTTTTTTTTTTGACAAAGACTGTAAGACATATTCTTCCAATTTCTGTGGTTCCCTTTAGAGTCCTAATATTTTCAAAGAAAGTAATGCTGCTGTACTCAGTTTTACAAATATAATTGCCCAAAAGTCTTATTCTTGACTTTGTGCAATAATAGGGGCATCTATACGATTCTGTACATGTGTACAAAAATGACTTCTTGAGTTCTTTTAGGAGGAGTGTGTTGGTTTTTTTATTTTGTTGGATTTTTTTTGTTTTTCCCCCATTATGTTTTTATATGAGATTCTGACAGACTAGGATAACACAAGCATTAATTCTGTATTTATAACTTGGATTTTACTTTTAGGATTTTTAGATTAAAGTTTCCATTCTTATATTGAGATTTTGTTCTTCAATAAATATCCTTACTTCAGTTTATGTCTTTATATCTTGTATTACCCAAATTTTGAAAACAAATTACAATAATTGAATACTGTGCATAAAGTTGTTTATAAAATTTAATTTTTATAGAACTAAGCCATGGAAGAAGTTGGAGAGGGATATTTATAATACCTTGATTGCCTCCTGGATTCAATCTATCATTTTTAAACCTTTGGGCTATCCAGTGAAAAGTTAAAGAGAATGGCTGGTCACTCAAGTAGAGGTTCTGGACATCCAGGTACAAGGATGTGGAATATCATGGACTTGGAAATTTCTTTAGAATTATCATTGATAATTTCACTATGTGCTGTAAGAAAAACATGTTGAAATGTGTTAAATGTCTCTGCCATGATTTTTTCTATCTTGATTGTTTCATTAACCTGCATCTAATATTGCTTTGTAATCTGCATGTGCAACACGTTCACTTAATTTTATGTTTAAACAATCTGTCTTCACCTTTAGTTCACTTTTCTGCTTGTCTTTTCAAAGCAAATGAAGGTTTGTTCTGGTTAGAAGTGGGGGAAATTCCTCCCTCTGCAGCTTTAAAGCATACCAGTAATTTGTTGTTTCCTGGTCATTCTCTTGTGCTTTTCTTAGAATGGAAAATTTGAAATATTATTTAGTAACAACTGTAAAACAGAGATTTTAATTAAAAAAAAAAAAACCAAACAGACCTATGCAAGACCTCCCCAAAAACAGGAGGAGAAAAAAGCATAAGCCATGGCTTATTTGCACTTTACCAA